TACGTAAATACGTGTTGAATGGTCTACAAAAATCTATACCACAGCGCGCAAACGGCCGTGACGGTGTGAGACGTTCTACCGGTAAATTGCCCATCATCTGTTGCAATAGTTTTGGCTTATAATGCACGCAGTGAACACATTGTCTGACTACTCTTCGAGCAACCTCTCTGGCGTTTATAATCCAAAACTCTAAACGAATGAGTGCCACTAGTGCCTTAGGTCCAGCATGATAGTTCTTACGATGCAAGTAACGAACATAACGTATGACGAATTCAGATTTGCTAGGCAGCAGGATAGGATGTTTACGTTCTTTTGCAAGATCAGCCAATTCTAATCGTCAACCAACCTTTATCAGCTTATACCCACCGGTATCTTTAATAAATGGGTTGATGTATTTCAATGAACTTTTTGTTATAGATCCTCGATTCAATAAATAAATATCTTCAGCAAAGTACTGAGCTTGTATATTTGAAATGATGAATCGGAAGGCGTGGTCTAATTCTTCATGAGTAAGAACTTCTGTAAAGACATTGCGGTTGAACTTCTTCTTATAATGATGATACCAATGAAACAACCAAGCCAGTACACGAACAGCCGTTGTATGTGAGCTATACTTATCAATAATATCTATGACATAATTGGTTGATACAGTTACCTTGAATGCTGCTTTTCGTTTTTCCTTATTGACTTCTTCAAAATCCAAGTTGTCGTTCTTGTTTGCAGGCCACTTATACATCTCTTGACGAAGAAATGAAGGTCCTTTAAACCAAATAGAATTAGTGAGATCCTTAACAGTGCTGCCTCTTGACACAATGTCTGCTGGATTACAATTTGTGTGGACATATCACCAATGTGAACCTGCGGTGAGGTCTTGAATCTCAGAAACTCTATTGCCTACGAAGGCAGACAGTGTGGCCGAATGCATTTTGAGCCAATGTAATACGATTTGGGAATCAGACCATAGATAGACGTCCGTATCAAACTTTTCGAAGAGCGATTTAATTTTGTTGTAAAGTCTTGCAAGTAGCAGTGCTTCACAAAGTTCTAATTTTGGAAGCGATTGTTTTTTTAGCGGAGCTACTCTAGATTTGGCTACGAATAGTTGAACCTCTATGAGGTTGGAATCATCTATGACGCGAATGTAAATGCTGCAACCATATGCGCGAATCGATGCATCGCAGAACCCATGGAGCTGAATTGTTTTTGCTTTTGGTTTTAGACAGTACCTTGGAATGGTAATGGTGTTCAATGATGACAAATCGTGACAAAGCCTTTCCCATGCTGAATGTAAATTTTGAGGAATGGATTCGTCCCAATCCAATTTAAGCAACCATAGCTCTTGCAATAATATTTTAGTTGATATGGTTATCGGAGCTAATAGTCCTAATGGGTCGAATAGTGACGACGCAATTGATAAAATAGTTCTTTTTGTGATGCGGCTGATAGAGTTTGGTTTAACATTAAATGAAATAATAAATACATCATTATCTTGATCCTATTTCAGTCCCAATGTGCTGGTAATAACATCCGAATCAATATTGAGATCTTTGATAGTAGTATCATCTCTAAAAGCTCGATGATTTAAGTGCCATTTAGCTAAGCCCTGTTTTAGAAGCTCTTCCAATTCGTACCTTATTTGGTGTAACTCAGAAAGAGAATCTGCACCATGCAATAAGTCATCAACATAAAACGAAGATTTGATTACTTCAGCTGAAATCTTGAATTGATTCACATATTGATGCGCTATATACAATAGGCAACGAATGGCAAGGTGCGGTGCAGCAGCTGTGCCATATGTAACTGTGTTGAGCTGGAAAGTACGAATATTGGTAGATGGTGAACTTCTCCAAAGAATGTACTGAAATTTTCTATCTTCAGGATCAATCAGAATTTGCCTATACATCTTCACTATGTCAGCAGTAAGAGCGAATCGAAATAAGCGAAAACGTAACAAGAGGATGAACAATTCAGTTTGAAGAGTAGGTTCAATCATTAAAATATCATTGAGAGATTTCTGAGAAGAGGTTCGACATGATGCGTCGAATACGACTCTTAATTTCGTCGAGGTGCTGGTTGGCTTCAATACGCAATGATGCGGAATGTAATAATGAGGTTCATCAATATTTGGATCTTTTACCTCAATCATGTGACCAAGGTTTTGATATTCTTCCATAAAAGCAACATATTGAGTTTTGAGCTCAGGCGACCGTGACAATCGTTTTTCTTGTGCAATAAGTCTGCGCAACGCTGTACCGTATGAACTGCCTAAACACTGAGGATTATCCTTAAATGGCAACCTTACCATAACTCTACCTGCATCTGTTCTGCATACTGTTTCTGAAAACAAACGATCACAAACTTGTTGTTCACTAGTCCAAGCATGTGGAGTGATCGAGACTTCTTCTAGCTTCCATAGACGTTCTAACTTTTCCTCGACAGAGTCAATTGATGAAAGGAGACAAGTTGAATTATTAACGCATTGTGAAACATCATATCTACCTGAAACAATCCAGCCCAAAATAGTTTTCTGTAACGTTGGTAATCCTAATCCAAGTTTAATCTGGCCTACTGACAGGACACTAAAAAAGCTTTCAGTGCCAAGCAGTAAATCAATACGGGTTGATTTGTAAAATTGTTCGTCAGCAAGGTTAATATTTGGTGGTATGTTCCAAGTTGAAATGTTTATTTCAGAATCTGGTTGATACGCAATATGTGATGTTATACAGAATGTCAATGGAAGTTGAAAAGCCGTGAATCGAGATTTGATAGTAGTTGATACCTTTGATGTAATTCTTGTCGATGAATTTCCGATGCTGTTAATTTCAATATTATGCTTGGCCATGGGTATGCGAAGTTTTTGAGCGAAATCATTAGTGATGAAGTTCACCTGTGAACACGAATCTAGTAACGCCCTACCCAATTGATAGCATCCAGATGCATCCTGTATTAGAACTAGCGCTGTAGCTAAGATGACATTACTTGTCGATGACTTCTCTAAATGTGTATGCGTCACAGCATCTCTAGAAGTAGTAGCTACAGCTGACACCATTGATGACTGTGGAGTAGGATGAACTGAGTTGAAAGGTGTTGTAGCATTGAAGGTGTTGCTACGATGTAACAAGGTGTGATGTTGATCTGAACAAATCTTACATCTATAAGTTGATGGACAGTTAGAACGTTGATGTCCTTTTGATAAACAATTGATGCACAGTGTGAATCGCTTTACAGTGTCAAAACGTTGTGCAGTTGATAAACTTTTAAACCGTTCACAGCCATTGAGCTTGTGATTCGCACTTGAACAAAATATACAAGAAGATTTAGTGCAAGAAAAAGCATAATCTTTGTGAGATTTTTTTATTTTTGACAATTTATCATTGGTGTGTACATCTGATACACAAGAAGACGTTTTATCCAGAGATTGAAGATATTGACAATGTCTCTCTAAAACGGCACTACAATCGTTCCAACATGGCAACCTTTTGAAATCCAACGATTCCTTCCACTTTCTTCTCGTCCCTTCGTCACACTTTTGCATCACAATATGAATCAACATTGCTTGTGAAATGTCACGTTCAGAACCCAATGATAGAAGTGAACTATAAATTGCTGACGCAGTATCGATTAAACTTCGCAATTTATCACCTTCCGGTTTGGAAGTACCAGGAAGATCGAAAAGGGCTGATACGTTTTCCATAAAAATGAGTGTTGGATTGTCGTACCTGTCCTTCAATCTATTTAAAGCCTTTGAATAATTTTCATTTGTGACTTGAAACACATTAACCGTTTCTAACGCTGGGCCATGCAGACAAGTCAGCAAATAACTAAATTTTTCCAGATTAGATAAAGTTGATTCTCGATCAATAATTTGGGAAAATGTCGTTATAAAATTCTTGAATTCCGAATATTTACCATTGAATGAAGGTAGTTGTAACGGTGGTAGTTTCGATGTTGATTGGTGGATGGTGATGTTACCATCAGATATTGACGTATTGTGGAACTCGTCTCCCAACTGCGATTAAATAGCCACCTTTGCATTGATGTAAATCTCCTCCAAATCTGATCGGCAATTGTCTTCTGGATCTAAGGCCTCGATGCTCGATTGCGTGGTCAATATCTGTTTGAAGTAAGCCTCTAATATCGCTAAGCGACATTTTAGTTCAGCATGTGGAAGTACATTTCCCTCATTCCTTGCGGATTCAATATAATTCTTAATTCATGTCATGCTTTTTTTAGTGTTGGCTCTTTGCTGCTTTAATTTTTCTGCCATTGTGATGTAAAAATATAATGTACAAAATAAATGCACCAAATACAGCAACAACTCGTTAAGTAAATGATAAACAGCAACAGCAATAGAGTCGACGTAAATTCTGCATGCTGCGACAGCACTGAAAATTGACGATGATGGCAGTAGCAGCAACAGTATAAGAACTCCAAACAAATGCAGCAAGCAGCGACAGACTAACTGCAAAGAACCGTAAAACAAACGGCAATAAACTATAAAGCGAGTCGGCGACGATGGCCTTGAATTAAACACGAGATTTAATTTAAATATAATTATATGGAGCACAAGAACCGTAGAAGAAACGGCAGTAACAATGCAACAAAACGGCGACGACGGCCTGAAAATGATACAAGAACCGTAAAACGAACGGCAGCTACAAAGCAACAAAACGGCGACGACGGTCCGAAAATGAAACTGTTCAAGTTTTTATTATTAAATAAACAACATATATTATATATTTAATATATATTAAATATATCACTTTCAAATGTCTAAATTATACTTTGTCAAGTATTTATCGTGTCCCACGTTGGGCGCCAAAAAATGTACCAAGAAGAATTTTTCTTAATAAAACTAAAACCGAAAAAGAGACGACAAAAAAACACGTTGTTTTTTAATTCGAGTTTGATTAAGACTGATCGTTTTTATTGTATTAACTTACATTTTGCAACAGGGTTGCCAATAATACAAAAACTTTCGTTATTTATGAACATTATATATTTTATGTTATTTTGTATTGTTACCCAACAATGTTATTTATTTTTTTATATAAATATTTCATATATTTTAAAATTAAACATAATTTCCGAAATGTTTTCTTGGGAAAAAGGAAAACATAACTAGATACCCTAGAGTTTAATTATCAAGCCAATACGAAGCCAGTAGTTATTGTTTGCCAGGTGTTGAAATGCTACTGTAAAAATCACTAGATCAGTGATGCCATACTATATAGTTGTTATGCCAAATCTCAAACATCGAACTTTCGAACTTTCTAGTGAGCGGACGTGTTTTTAAGCCGGTCTCGGAAAAATTTAAATTTCAGTATAAAAACAAGTAAATAACAATCACTTTTAAAAGAATTACTTTTGTTATTAATACAAAAATAAAAAACAGAACATTCTCGGACAAAAAAACAATTCCTAAAAGTCAAAAGTGCATAAAATATTAATTTGAAAATAGCGCGCGCTTTTTCGATTTTTGTTGATTTTTGCACAACTTTAATATAAAAAAAAACTCAAATAGCTGACAGAGACAGCAAATTATTTTCTAAAGCTCAAAATAAAAAAAGTGAGCAAGCATTCAAAGAAAATATCAGTGCGGTTTTGTGAATATATAAACAAAACAAAAAAGTGCTGATAGAGACAGCTAGTATTATTACAAACGTGTTCCACAAAAGCTGTAATTGGAAGCCCGCAATTCATCACAACACAACACAACATCAAAACCAACATACGTGCTAACATTGGATTTTGGAATCTAAAGATATTTATTTTATTAATTATTATTATTTTTTTATTATTATTATTATTATTATTATTCTTAATATAATTATTATTCTTTTTTCTCTCTTTTTGTTTTTATTTATATGTTTAATTATTAGAATATAAATTATAATATTTTACACATTTTCATTTTATTTTTACATCTTCATTTTTATTTTTATTATTTTCTTCTTTATATTAATTTAATTTAATTTTACTTATATTTATATAGTTAATTTAATTTAATATCAATTAATATTAATAGTAGTTAAATTAAGTAAATCTTATAGCACACCTGCTATTTGCATATATAACCACGTATGCAAATGAGCAATCAAAATCTAGTTAGAAGACATACGATAAGCATTCCAAGTAAACGTAATGCTTATTTGGTAATAGACGCATCGAATACGTTGCCTCTGAAAACTACACAAACTGACAAAAGCTTGTCAAACATTGCACCTTCAGCAACTTCGCTTGCGTTTTCCGACTTAGCGAGTCCAAAAAATAAAATAAAGGTCCAAACAGGCATAGAACGCTATGTAAATATGAAACGCAAACTTAGTCCTCAAAAAAGCAATTCAAAAGTGCTAAAATAACTAAAACTATCAAAGATAGTGCAACTACAAACATTATTTCTGGCAATAGATTTGCTGAATTAGCTGAAACTACAGAAGAAGCTAATCAGCCTATTAACAAAAATTTTAAACCGCCTCCAATCTACTTGCGTGAACGCAGCTCAAATAACCTAGTTACAATCCTTGCAAGTCTGATTGGAAATAATACTTTTCATATTGTTCCTATAACTAGGGGCAATATACACGAAACCAAAATCCAAATCGACACTGAAAACAATTTTAGAATCATAACCAAATATTTCGAAGACAACAAAAAAAATTACTACACATACCAACTAAAGAGTAGTAAGGGCCTTGTTGTCGTAATTAAAGATATCGAATCAGATGTAGAACCCATTGAGATAACAAATGCCCTAAGCGAAAAAGGCTTTAGCGCTAGAGCAGTAATAAATATTGTTAACAAAGATAAAATCCCACAACCTATGTTCAAAGTTGAACTTCACCCGGAAGCTTCTAAGCTTAAAAAAATGAGAGCCATCCCATCTACAACCTACAGTATTTACTTCACCGCAGAATTAGCGTTGAGGAGCCCCACAAAAGGAATGGTCCGGTGCAATGCACAAACTGCCAAGAGTATGGCCATACTAAGTCATATTGCACTCTTCGTACAGTGTGCGTAGCTTGTGGCGAGCTTCACCATAGTTCCGAATGCGATAAAAAAGCATTAAAGGATACCAACTCCAAAAAATGTAGCAACTGCAGTGGAAATCACACTGCAAACTACAGAGGCTGTCCTATTTATAAAGAACTAAAGCACAGGTTAGCTCTGCAGAAAGAAGTGTTGCGTAATCCTACAAGAAGCAACACCATTAAATTAGTTGAAGTACCTCAACCTTTAACTTCTAAGCCTGTTACACCAGGTGTTTCATATACTAATGTTGTTAAATCTGACAATCAACAAGCCCCTCCAGTTCAAAGTAATAGTTTAGAAATAATGATCTCCACTCTCACCCAGAGCTTAACTCAGTTTATGTCAATCATGCAAACTACTCTTAACGAGATAGTTAAAATGCAAAGCCAATTAATGCAAATGTTTTTGTATAAATAATGAGTATTTTAAAAATTTGTACATGGTGTGCAAACGCTACAACATTAACTTGAACTCACAAACTTCATGACCTGAGAAAGTGTGGATGTAATGCTTTGATCAGAAACACATCTAACAAACAAAAATTTCTTTTCTATTCCTGGTTATTTGTTCTATAAAACCAATCACCCAGATGGCAAAGCACATGGTGGTACAGGTATTTTGATACGAAAGCGTTTAAAAACTTTGAAGGTACATATGCTCATAATTATATGCAAGTCACATCAATATGCCTTAAGCACAAAGGGAAAAATTTAACTTTATCTGCAGTTTACTGCCCCCCTCGCTTCAACATTACTGACATCCAATTTACGGATTACTTTTTAACTCTAGGCGAAAGATTTCTTGCGGCGGGAGACTACAACGCCAAGCACACGTATTGGGGTTCACGACTCTGTAATTCAAAAGGAAAACAGCTTTACAATTCTATTCTAAGTAAAAAAAAAGCACTAGACGTAATCTCCCCTGTGCAGCCAACATATTGGCCTGCTGATAACAAGAAAATACGAGACCTAATAGACTTCGCCGTGACCAAAGGCATAAGCAAAAATTTTATCTTAACATACACAAGCTGCCATTTGTCTCCTGACCATTCTCCAGTTACATATTGCTTACTTGA